ACATTGGGGTGACATCTGCTTTTCTCTCATTTTATTCTTTATTTCCTGTGATGGAGACATCATTCTAGATTGGAATGTATTGATGGACAAAACAGTGAAAGACTTCTGATGTTAGTGAATATGCTCTACACTGAGGTAATAAATAATAGAAAATGTAAGTTCTGTGAAATGATTGGAAGTTAAACAAGGCATGGTAACTGCAGAAACTGAGGACACAGGGCAGGCAAGGATTATCATTTAGGATAGATTACATTGAGGAGCCGGGTGGTTGTGGTGCATGACTTTAATCCCAACACTAGGGAGGCAGAGGTAGGCAGATCTCTGTGAGTTCGAGGCCATCCTGGTCTACAAGAAGTAGTTCCAGGACAGCCAAGGCTGTTACATAAAGAAACCCTCTCTCAAAAGGGGGGGGGGGGTTGAGTAGATTGCATTTAGGAGGCAACGATTGAGCAGATTTGAAGAGAGCTCCACCATGAGGACCTATAGGCATATGAGTCACAGCGTGCAAAGAAAAAAGAATTGACAAGAGCTCAGAGAGAGGTCAGTGAGTTAGAGTGAGACAACTTAGCAGAGGAGATCAAAGCAGTACTAAGGACCAGGTAAGGACTTAGCTTTGTTTGATACTGTGGTTCTATGAACAGATGGTAGATACAATTGATTTAGGACCTAAAAAGACTATCTGTCTACTCTTTTGAGATCTGGCATTATGAAGACTCATTAGGAATACTTGCAACAAACCAGGTAAGAAATAATGTGGCACAGACAAGAATTGTCTTGATTGAGGTGATGGTCCACAGGTAGTAGAAAGAAAGAAGATTTGAAGGCATCTCTGGGTTTAGTAGAATTAAGAAAGATAAAGAAGATGGAGAAAGCATTGGATAATGTTCACTTTGTGAGGAAGGACAGACTTTACTTCAAACATGTTAATTTTGAGATACCGACTATATGTGCAAATAAAGGTCTTAAATAGATACATGAAACTGAGGGACATTATTTGGCTAGAACAGTAACAAACAGATGCTATTTAAAGGTATGAACATGTAATGTGAAGGTGCTAGATAGAGAACTGTAGGTGAAGGGCATAGAAAGAAAAGCAGCCAAGACACTTTAAAAGGCATGTGTATGTGGGCAGTGGGTGGTGTGGAAAGAAAACAAACTGGAGAAAATGAGAGGGATCATATGTAGAAAAGGGGAAAATTGATCAAAGTAGAAGGAATCAAACCTGTTTTGTCAAAGGCTATTGGTATGTTATGCAAAATGATATCGACTAGCATCACTTTAGAAGAGTTATAAATCGAAGGACCAACTCACAGTAACTTTTATTATACTCATAGATGGGGGCATGTCCCAACCCTTATCAGAGCAACTTCATTTGGCAGTAGATAGAGGCTAACACAGAGACAAGTCATGGGCCAAAGTGTAGAGAGCAAGCGACTGTAGAGTACTCAGACCTAAATAAGGACCTCTATATCCCACCCCTACTCCCAAACTCAGGAATTGTTGTTAAAGAGGGTGCAGAAAGACTGTAAGACCCAGAGACAGTGCATGGCTACAAGGAAACAGTACTTTCTGCATACAGTTGGGCAACTGTCATATGAACGCATGGTAGTTTTGATAGCATGTATGAGGCCTGTGCAAACTCAAGCCAGCCCAAATCAAAACACAGAGATGAAAGATGAGCATAGAGTCTCATTCTCTGCTGAGAAGCTATTGGTAATTAATAGCTGCTGGGAAAGAAATTTGTTTTGTTTTGTTTTGTTTTTAAGAGCATTGGCTTCCTGTAACTCTAATATACTCTTTTGGGTGGCCATACACAAAAGTATATATAGGCAGCCCTAAACTTGTTTTTTTTTTTTTTGTTTTTTTTTTGTTTTTTTTTTTCCTTGCACTCAGTTGCTTTTATTCATGATACTTATTACAGGAACAAGAAGCAAAAAAATACATAGTAATTCATAGAAGTATACTACATCACAGAATATTCAACAATATTGTCGGAGCATTTAAAATCATCAAATACCAGTTCAATTGAGAAAAACCAAAATGAGAGGTTTGGTATAAGAAGGAACATTTGTAAAGCCCCTGTTAGTTCTTTTTTCTGCTTACAGTATGAGGAGGGGGAATGTAGATTCAGAGCCTTTCTAAATTTAGAGTGATTTAATCGATGGATAAATGTTGTATCTATTCCTCCTCAATCTTTTTTAATGTTTTTTCATTTTACATACCATTTCCAGTGGCCACTTCCTCCTATTTTTAAAAAATAGCAGCCCTAAATTTGACTTGATGGATTAAAAAAAAATAAATGAGGTCTCTAAGTTGGGTGGGTATGGCATAGGGGATGAGTATGGGAGTAGATGGGGAATTGAACATAATCACAATACAATGTATGAAAATCTTGAATTACTAAAAAAAAATAAGAAACAAAAAAAGTACTGAAGGTCAGTAATTGGACACTGAAAATTTGAATATAGGGGTTATTCAACTTGGCCTGAGATTTTTTCAGAGGCCATGGTAATCTCCAAAAATAAGAAAGCTACTCTTTGCCCACTGCACCCACTGTGAAGCAATGTATGGCCCTGATATTCTGATGGGATTATTCAGAGATCCCTCAAAATCCCAATGACATCTAGTCTACCAATTTATACTTCTTCCGGTGTTTAAAGAATAGGATGGCCATCTAAGCTTATTCTAAAGTTCTGAAAACTGGTTATTTTTATTCAATGAACAAGATTTTAGTTTCTAAAATTGCCTGGATTTAAGAATTCCCATGACACATATTATTAAGTTTGGGAATACGCTTTATAAAATAAACTGAAAAATAAGAGAAATTGGGGTTTATTTTTCTTAGAGCTCTTTTTTTTGTTATTTCTTATTTTAAATGAACCTATAAATTTTACAGCACTTTATTGTAGAGGTCACCACTTATTTGACTTTATTTTTCTACTAAATAAAATTATATGTTTTATGCTATGTCATCATAAACTTTATTTAAAAGAATATATGGGGAATGACACACATTATATAGGTTGTATTTTCAAATGCTGAATAAATGATTAATGATGGTTAAAAATAACATGAAATGTTATATACGAAAAATATATTCTTTTTTTTTTTTTTTTTTTTTTTGGTTTTTCGAGACAGGGTTTCTCTGTGGTTTTGGAGCCTGTCCTGGAACTAGCTCTTGTAGACCAGGCTGGTCTCAAACTCACAGAGATCCGCCTGCCTCTGCCTCCCTAGTGCTGGGATTAAAGGCTTGCTCCACCACCGCCCGGCCAAAAAATATATTCTAAACTTTTGCACTTTTCATGTTCAAGAACATTGGTAAAGTCTCTAATGTGGTGTCACATGCCCGTAATCTTGACACTCGGGAGAAAAAGGCAAGAGAATTGCTACTCTACTTGGGGAGGACTGATTGGGATATACAGTGAGTACCAGGTTAGTAGCCTTGGTTAATGAATTAGGCTGTCTCAAACAAACACAATAATAAGAAATTCCACAATACACAACTGTTAGCAGTTCCACCTTACCCACTTCCCCACCCCCCCAGACAAAAAAGCAACAACCAACTGACCAAGCAAACAAACAAACAAGAACACTGACTTACAGAAACTAGAGATAGGGGAAAACAATATAAATTTATGAAAATGTTTATACAACTTGTATCAGAATGAAGCCAGAATATATGCTGTTATGAAATCATTTTGAATTCAAGAATATTAATAGCAATACTTTCGGGTAAACTAAGTATTATGTAATTGAGAAAAATTAAAAACTATGTACACATTGTTTTAAGTGACTCCGCAGTCTCAAATAGTTCTTAGAATCCTGAGTCACTTGTTCTCAGTGATATGCTGTGTATCTACCATCTTGCCACGTGTGTTCTTTGACTTTGACCCACCCTATAACTCCAGTTCTATTTAGGTAAAATATAGTACTGGTGGGGAAAAAAAAGTTAATTTTGACATTTGAAAAAAAATCTATCTTTTATGCCATACTTACTTTTTTGTGTTTTTTTTTGTTGTTGTTTTGTTTTTTTTGTCATGTGTTGTTAAGCCATATAGGATAAGATTAGTGTTAAGAGCTGTGCTTTTAGGGCCTTATAAGTGAGCTTCACCTGAATTACCAAACTGGTTTCTGTAATGATTTGCATACAATCCCTGGATCTCAAAATTAAGACAAATCAAACAATGATTGTAGTAATAAGGGTGGCGGGGCTGCGTTCCCAGCACCCCGGCTGCCTGCTCGGCTAGCTTATGCCCCGAAATAACAACACACAAACTGTATTCATTTAAACACTGCTTGGCCCATTCTCTTCTAGGCTAATTCTCACATATTAATTTAGCCCATTTCTAATCATCTGTGTGTAGCACCCCAAGGTGCGCTTACCAGGGAGATTCTAGCCTATGTCCATCCTGGGTCGGAGCTTCATTCCGGGAGCGGGGCATGGCGTCTCTCTGAGGCGTCTGCCCCCGAGCGGAGAGCTGTCGAGTCTGAGCTCACTTCCTCTTCCTCCCAGCGTTCTGTTCTGTTTACTCCTCCCACCTATCCTCTAACCAATAAAATGGGCCAAGGCAGTTCCTTTATTAGCCAACGACCTTCCTCCATCAAATGATAAGATGCACACCTATTTATTTATATTTATATTCATATTCATATATATATGATACATGTCATAATACAAATGTATAATTGCAAACCTGAGTAGCATTTGAGGCAGGAGAATGATGGCCATTTGTAGTAGTAAAGAGGAAGTGGTTTTTGGTAATGTTTATAGGGTATGAGGGATTAGATAACGTCTATTTCTTAAGCTAAACATGTTGGCTTATGTATCATTTTTATCATAAAATTTCAAAGCTGAAAAGTCTCACATAAACAAAATTATATCATGATTATTTTAGTTTCTTTATCCCCTTCTAATTGAAATTTATCTCTGGTTCCAGGAGACCATTTCACAGAAAGCATTTTGAACAAAATGTCAGTTGTCTTTTCCTTTTCCTTTTCAGTTCAAAAGGACATAGTCCGGCTTCTCCCCAGTTTAGACGTTGAAGTCAAAGATATTACTGACTCTTCTGATGCTAACTGGTTTCTTCAGCTACTGTCTACTGAAGATCTTTTGGAAATGACCAGCAAAGAGTTTCCTATAGTAGCTGAAGTTATCGAAGTAGTTCAAGGGAATCAGCTGCCTCAGAGTATTCTACAGCCTGGGCAAACAATTATTATCCACAAAAAGTATCAGGCTTCGAGGATCCTAGCTTCAGAAATTCGAAGCAATTTCCCTAAAAGACACTTCTTGATTCCCAGTAGCTACAAAGGCAAGTTCAAAAGGAGACCCCGGGAGTTCCCAACGGCCTATGACCTGCAGATATCTAAGACTGAGAAGGAAACTCTCCATGTGGTAGCCACCAAAGCCTTCCATACACTTCACAAGGAACTGTCCTCTGTGTCTGTTGGGGACCAGTTTCTAGTGCATCACTCAGAGACCACAGAAGTTGTCTTTGAGGGAACAAGAAAAGTGAACGTTCTGGCCTGTGAAAAAATCCTCAGTAAGTCCTACGAGGCAGCCCGGCTTCCTCTGTACATGGAAGGAGGTTTTGTAGAGGTGATTCATGATAAGAAACAGTACCAGATTTCAGAGCTCTGTACACAGTTCCGCTGGCCCTTCAATGTAAAGGTGTCTGTGAGAGATCTCTTCATGAAAGATGACATTTTGGCCGCTACCCCAGGACTGCAGTTGGAGGAGGATATCACAGACTCATACCTACTTGTTAGTGACTTTGCCAACCCCGGAGAATGTTGGGAAATTTCCATGAGCCGACTGAATATGACTGTTCAGTTAGTTAGTAGTAGTAATTTGTCTATGGATACAGGACCAATTCAAGTTAGGACTCTGGTAGAAGAGATCACAGAAGAACAATATTACATGATGAGGAGGTACGAAAGTTCTCCCTCACATCCCCCGCCTCGTCCTCCCAAGAACCCCTCAGCAGAGGAGATGAAGTTAACCTTGCTCAGCTTAGCAGAAGAAAGAACAATACATCTGCCCAAGTCTCCCAAGGTAAGACATCATGGATTTTTCTTGTCTAGACAATGAGTTTCGAGTTGCTTCTGAGTTTGCTTTTTACTTGCTTTCCTTTCTTTCTTTTGTACCGATTTGAAAGAAGCCTGTCTGATGCCTATTAGATGAATCAACATCAGCAGAGGAGAAAGCTGTTGCAGCAGTTTGTGCTTGGAGATTTCACCAGTAGAAGTAGCATGAAATCTGTATGGAGTTAGAAATAGAAGTGATGACATTTGGCCACGGCTGCGCAACATTGCCATTCCAATTGACAACTGAACATGTTTAATAAGAGACCTCAGAAAGAATTTCCTTTGATTTTGGAAGTGTGGTTCATTTTTCTTAGGTAGAATTCTCTTAATACCTCACCCAGAAAATGAGCATACAATAAACTCCCATCTTCTGGTGGGGGTGGGGAGGGAGTAGGAGTTTACTAGTAACATGCATCTCTAACACATGCCTTCGTTTTGTTTTGTGTGCAGAAAGATGTAAAAATATCTTGGCAGAACTATGTGTGAGAATGTGAGCATCTGCCCACATAATGCCTCTCGGAATTGTAATCTTTAGCAGTTCTACTGAAAAATAAAATCAATAAACCTATAGGCACCATGGGATCTCTATGGAACTGGCAAATCCACAACCGCTTGAGATGTCAGACAGTAGTCCAGTATTTTTTCTACTTGATCTTGATTCTTAACCACTGCCTGCTGGCTACTTGAACCTACTAGGGCATACATGTTTGTGTGTGTGTGGCTGAGGTTCTATGGTTTATGGAAGGGGAGTGTGTTCTGTCCCAACAGATTGCTAGAAGTACAAGAAAAACAAAACAATTGGTAAAATAGATACTATCTATTCTTGCCTCATCTTTAGGAGCGATAGTAGCACTGGGCATCAAGACTTGTATATAGATGTGGATGTGCTTGTGGTTGTATATAACAAAGACTGTTCTAATTGTATGCTAAAGGAATTCTTAAGGATTACTAAACTCATTTTCTCTACCAGGGGGGAAAAAGATAAAACCAGCAAAAATTTTCTTTTTGGAAAACTATTTTTTAAAAAAAAATGACCAAATAAAACAGTTCCAAAATAACATTGATTAGCTAAAGTAAATGGTTTGTTTGATTTTCAGACTTAGCATATATTTCTCACTGAGTTTCAAAGATACTAATACTGATGGTCAAGGTGTAAGTCTAGAATTCCTAGGTTCTTGGCATCTTATTTCAAGAATAAGGCCAAAAATTCACATATTTGCAAATAGCAAGAAAGCAATGTTCAAAGCAAAGCCATAGAACAGATCTCTGTCCAGTTCTCACGTGAATTTATGGTGTTGAGATCTGAGCCTCACTCTGAACAATGACTGTTTGTGTTGTAAGGAACCGCTTATTCATCCTGGCTGCCCAGAACCAAAATAATCACACAGAAACTGTATTAATTAAATCACTGCTTGGCCCATTAGCTCTAGCTTATTGGCTAACTCTTACATCTTAATTTAACCCAATTCTATTAATCTGCATATCAACCATGATGTCTTGGCCTACCAGCAAAGTTTCAACACTTCTATCTCCATCTACAGATCCATGGCGTCCCTCTGACTCCACCCTTCTTTCTTCCAGCATTCAGTCCAGTCCTCCCCACCTACCTAAGTTCTGCCCTATCAACAGGCCAAGGCAATTTATTTGTTAATAATAATCACGTAACACAGAGGGGATGCCCACATTATGTTTGGAGTTGGTGAAGAGTTGTCAAGATGTTATAAAGTTCTGGAACTATTTTTATTTGAGGAGCAAGAATTGAGGGGCAGCTTAAATTTGAAAGACTAAACTGTATTAGTTAAACCACTGCTTGGCCATTAGCTCAAGCTTCTTATTGGCTAACTCTTACATCTTAATTTAATTCATTTCTAGTATTTTATATTTTACCACAAGGCTCGTGGCCTACCAGCAAGGCTGCAGCATGTCTGTCTCCGGTGGTGGCTCCATGGCTTCTCTCTAGCTCTGCCCTTCTTTCTCCCAGAATTCTGATTAGTTTTCTCTGCCTAACACTGTTCCCCTATAGCTCTGCTATAGGCCCGAAGCAGTTCCTTTATTCATTAATGGTAATCACAGGATACAGAGGGGAATCCCACATCATTGGTTGAGTTGAAGGGCGGGCATATTTGATGCAGTAATATTGTGACGGACTTTATATGACAGAAAGAGAAAAAAGGTTAGAGCAGAAAACAGGGATGATGGGTGAAGGGTGATGTTGGTAGATGACTCATCAAACCATTGAGAAGAATACACAATTTCTTGTTTCAGTTAATTCCATAAATTGTCATGTGGGTAGAAACAAAGCATTGTTATTTTCTCTGAAATCTCTTAAAAACATCGCTGATATTACCATTTACCCGTATTCAGAGGTACTGGTCTCCTCATTTTCAGTAATTTTTACCCACCATGGAGACGGGGGTTTTCTCAGTGGATTGTAGATGGAACATAACAGATAAGTCAGTTTCTGTGTAATATACCCAGAAGTGTTAAAAACCAATGGTTTCTTATTGTCCCAGTGTCACTCTTCCATGTCTTTTATATTCCATGGGATAACTTCCTTAATGCTTTTCTTTCATGTATGCTTTTGAAATAATTGGTTTTAAGATTTTTTAATGCTTAAAATTAGGGAGCTGCCATTTAAAACAACCCTCTAAGTCTTGGGGTTTTACATGGGATACTGCTTTAAATTTGAAGAACAATTTGTGAGGGTTATTCAGAGTTTAAATATTAAGACTCATTTAACTTACTAAAATGCCTTTTTATGTGCACAGAAAAGAGTACTAGATGCTTCGTTATGTGGCTTTACTTTTGCTTTCCTAATGGGTCATTAACTTTACTAGATCATTTCTTGCATTGCTAAACAACAGGGCAGATGTATAGGTAGGCTAAAAGTAAGATTCTACAATGTATTAAACATTAGTAAAATCCATCTGTGGCAGGCATCTGTGGTCAGTTAGGAACACTATGAGTTCATCTAAGATGTTTCTAAATTAAGAATATATGGGGACATCTCATAAGAACTAGGTGAATTAAATAATTCTTTGCCATGATAAGATTACCAAGTATTCTCTTGTTTTGGCAATACCTCAACAAGGACAAATGAAACGGCAATAGACTTGGAAGACTATGATTTAAGCATAGGCAGAAGCATATGAAAAGACACTGGATATCAAGATCAACTACATCAAGTAGTTTTACATGGATTTTATCTATGTAGTCGGAAGCTGCTCATTCATTTCCCAAAATAGTTACATAGAAACTATATTGATTAAATCACTGCTTGGCCATTAACTTAGGTGTGTTTCTAGCTAGCTCTTACATCTTAAACGAACCCATTTCTATTATTTTATATTTTACTATGAGGCTTGTGGCCTACCAGCAAGGTTCCAACTGGCAGCTTGCATCTTTCCCCTCTGGCAGCTACATGGTGTCTCATTGACTCTGCCCTCTTTGTCCCGGTATTCAGTTTAGTTTTTCCGCCTAGCTCTATTCTTCTCTGCTGCAGGCCAAAGCAGATTATTTACTCATTAACCAAACATATTCACAGCATACATATGGGAATCCTACATCATGCTGTAACAATGTTAACATATTAGTATATGGGTAATAATGCATATAATCTAAATGTGGGTGGGGATTTCCAGAAAATCTGTACAATTCTTTTATGCTGATGACATAATGCAAAATAAAACCTTTAGTTTCTATGCAATTGGAGTCTTAATTAGACAGACAAGTGTTATAAAGTTGCTGAAAAAACAAAACCATGCCTCTACTTCTACTTTGAGTAGGATAAACTCCTACTCACAGGTAGGGTTTCTGTGTCAGAACTAGTTTCAAATAGCTCTGAAGAACATAGACTCGATGGGGTTTTGCCTGTCATGGATATATATGGCTATAGCTTTTGAGTACCACAAAGGAGAAATGGAACTTCTATGTTCTGATGAAAAGGCCTATAACCAGAGAGAAAAACAAACCTTTGGTTGAAAGATGAGTTATTCCCCATCTTCAGAGACTGTAGCTGGGCCCAGAAATCTTACATTTCATGAACTCTGTTTGGCCGTTTAATGCCCCTGTGTCCACTTGTTCCTGGAATTTCTAGACTTCTGTGGACAAGAACACCCATAGCAGACATTAAGGCAAAAGGCAAGGGGGAGGCAGTGATGGCAAAGTTCTGTGCAACAAGCAAAGTTGGAATGCTGCTGCAGAGCCAGAGCTGGGACTGCAAAAGACAGAAGGAGAGCCAGGGTTTGTGCACTGCAGAAACAATTATTGCTCATCTGCTGCTACTGGCCTGTCACTTCTGATCTTGGCTGCGACAGAGGAATCTTATTAAAGAAATCCAGGCTCCTGGGTTACATGGAGAGGAATGTGACAGACACTCAGTTGTAATTGACAGGATTCCATCCCAAATGTTGTGATTTTTGTTTTCTTTCTCATTCACTGGATGTGCTGTAGGCATTAGGAGTATCGAAAGAGACATCTGTCAGAGAAGCCGTGAATCTACTTTCTTTCTAAATGGAGATTTTCGTCATAGCAGTTTTCAAAGACCATTGGCATTGAAGATAGAAACAGACATCCTAAAACACTCCACATTTGAATCTGGAGATAAGACAAATGGAGGGCATGGGGGAGTCTCTCAGAAATCATGGGCAAATCTTAGTTAGGAGGCACAAGTTTTACACATAAAAAAAATCAGATACTTACCTCTTGTTCTTACAGCATGACACAGATGAGTAAGTCAGCACTTTCAAGTTACCTGAGTTAGGAGTGTACCCCACTGGAATGTAAATTACCCAGAAACCAGTGAAAATCATGGGACAATTGGGCTGAGCATAAAAATAAAAGGAAGTGTTGGGTCAAAAACGGGCCAACCTTGAGTCACAGCTGGACCCGGGAGATCTGTGTCCTCTGTAGTGTGCAGAGCCACTGAAAGCTGTTTCTGACATCTCCAAGTGGGAGAGGAGTACAAAG